TATTTAAGTTTATTTGTTTTTACCTTTTGTATACTTGGCTTCTAACCTGAAGTCTGGCATTTATTTATTTGCTAGATAAATAACTTGTATTCAGAAGTTCATTTATTTGGCTTCTAATATTTATAGATATTTAAACCATTCAACACATACGTTAGGCACTGTGGTAATAATATGCTTATTAATAAGATTTGTTCAAGGGGAGTGTGAATTGAAGTGAAGATACGTTGTTATCAAAAGGAAAAGTAATGTAGGAAGTATTGGTATGTATTCTAGATTATGAATATCATTTATGAAGTTCTAGTGATCCCCTTCTGTGGGACCAATTGATGCTTCTTGGTACTATCAGCTCCTCAGCCAGCTCCTAGCAGTATCTACAAGAGCAATACTTTATTATTCTCTGACACTGACCCATTTATGTTCATCATACTGACGCTTAAACATGGACTGGAGTCTTGAAGACTTGGTTTGAATCCCAGCTCTGTCATTTCTAGGGATGGAATCTTGAAGCAAGTTACTCATGAGTCTCATTTTCTCATCTGAAGAATGGAGATAATACATGCCCCACACAGGGTTGTAGGGATTAAATTATGTACATAAAATAGCATTGGTTTCTAGAATGTAGTAGATGTTTTTTCTTAGGCGAAATCATTTTAATTCATTTAACTTTATTTCTGCAGAATCAGACTGAGCATTTATTTGGCTTTGAGTAGAGGAAAACAAAGTGGAATTTAACAATGGTGTTGATTGCTGACTTTGGTTAAGGCTTATTCTGTTCAGCTGATTCCTTTTTCCGTAGTGGAAAGTGCTAGTCTTGATCCAGAGAAAAAAAAGGAATGCTCAGTGTATAATGCTAAAAAGATATGTCACACCATGTTGCATTTAATACAAAGTGAGGGCACTGACGGGAGGAAATTTGTCTTAGTTGGTCACATTGGGTGCCTAGCAGCACACACAGGGCCTGGCATATTACAGGCATTCCATAGCATGTTTAAATGAATGAGTGAATCTGTTTAGATGAGAAACATGTTCTGGCTATGGAGTACATGATGTGCACTGGTGCATTTTGGGTAGGTACAGTTGATGTCTAGGAGATATTGGCAAAGGAGAATGATTTTGATATTTTAGCAGTTGTCTTGGAAACCATTATACCTGGTTCATTATATGCACGGATCTTTTGTAACAGTTTGTGTTTTTTTTTTTTTTTAGGCATTTTTTTTTTTGAGAAAGATCAGCCCTGAGCTAACATCCATACTAATCCTCCTCTTTTTTTGCTGAGGAAGACAGGCCCTGAGCTAACATCTATTGCCAATCCTCCTCCTTTTTTTGTTTTTTTTTTTCCTCTTTTCTCCCCAAAGCCCCGGTAGATAGTTGTACGTCGTAGTTGCACATCGCTCTAGTTGCTGTATGTGGGACGCCGCCTCAGCATGGCCAGACAAGCGGTGCATCGGTGCGCGCCTGGGTCCGAACCCGGGCCGCCAGTAGCTGAGCCCGCGCACTTAACCGCTAAGCCATGGGGCCGGCTCCCAGTTTGTGTATTTTTAAGAGAAATGTAGGTCAGCTAATTTGAGTTAGAATGATCACTTGTGCTGAATTAACCTAGAAAGGAAACAAGTGAGAAAGAAATGAAAAAGACTTTAGAACAGGTAATGGAGTTCAGAATCCACAGCTGTTCTAAGTTAGATTCTAGGCCTTAAGACATTGTACCAAAAGTAAATAAAATTTTATGTGGAGAAATGGATCACTCTTGCCATATCCTTGACTCTTTTCTTTCCTTTCCTTTTGCTGCTCCAATTTGGCAAAACACCGAACCCTAGAGCAGTCTTCGTCATTTGCCTCCTCCATTCCTTGGAGGCATGAACTGTTGAGGGCAGCCCGGGTTGCGGTAGCACTTCTGTAAGCACTGCTGTGCCTCCCAGTCTTGCCTCCATCCTGTCTATTTTGCACTGTCACCAGAATGATGTTTCTATAATGAATCTGATTGTATTAATCTCCTCCTTGAAATCCCTTATGGGGTCCTCATAGTTTTTAGGATAAAAATCCAAATTCCTTAGTATGGAAAACTGCTCTTAGAGATCTGGCCCCTTTTTACCAATCTCCTATCTGATCTCTTTTTTCCACATATTCTCTGTACTCCAAACATATTAAACAATTGATAAATTTCTCTGAATGTTCCATGTTCTTTTCATGCTGCTGAACACATGATGTTTCTTTTTTCCAGGTATGCTTTTCTGTCCTTCCCAAGGTCAACTACAGGCTGTTTAAAACTCCCCAGGGGTTACATCTAGAAAATTTCTGACTTTTCTTTCTTAGTCTGGTTCCTCCATGCTCTCATAACACCCTACAGCTAATGTTCTCAGTGGTAGCGAAGCAAATATATTGTAGTAGTCCACATGCTTTCTTTCTCACTAGACTGTGTGCTTTTTTGAGTACAGGATACTATTATCTGTTTAATTCCTAATGCCTGTCACTGATTTGCACAGTATAGACGCGCAGAACTTGGTGATTTAGTTAATGTATGAAGTAACAGAATTTATCAGAGGCCCAAAATGTGCCCAGCTAAGTCCTGAGTATTATGTGAACATGTGAGAAATGGAAGAACATGGTCTCTGCCTTGTTCATAAGCTTAGTTTTATGAGCAAAATGACTCATAAAGCAATTGGAGACTAAGCAAGTACATCATTAAGTGAGGATTTAGGTAGAATGATTTGAGAATAAAGATATAATCAGAAATTTCAAATCCCTTGGCATTACATATCTGCTCTTTATTTTTCTCCCTAATACTTACCACTACTAACATGCTATACCTTTTACTTATTTATTTTGTTATGCTCATCTCCCCTACTAGAATGTAAGTTTTATGAGGAGTTTTTATCTCTTTTGTTCACTATGGTATTTCCAATGCATGACACGTGGGAGGTGCTCAGTAGATTTTTGTTGAATGGATGGAATGGTGTTCAGAGAAGGAAATAATTACAAGGAGAGTATTTATGAAATACTTTGTGCACAAGTTACATCCTGAAGTAGACCTTGAAAGATAGTGTTTTATTAAATAAGTTGTGTTTATTAAATAAGTTAATTTAAGTAAAAAATTACCCATTTTATTTTTATATGCATTTTTTTCAGATCATGTATACTTCCTAATTTTCTCTTAAAGCTTCATAAGGTTTCTACAGCCCTCACTGTTGATTTCTTCTCTTAGAGAGTTTGACAACAGTCTATTTAATCAGAATGAGTGATGCTGACCCTTTCCTTATATACTAGTTGCAATAATGCATTCACTTCATGTTTATTAGCAAAATAAAATATGTGTTAAAAAAATAGGTCTGCTGGAGGCAATAACACATTGTATACAGATCTTCTTTACGCCATATGTTATGATACCTGAGAGCTTATCTTTTACTGTGCATCCATTCAGAATAATTACAAATGAATTAGAAGTCACAGCCATGTCAAGCTTCTGGTTGTTGTGGGAATTAGGGATCACAATTGACCGTTATACCTATAAGTTCTTAGATTTTAGCAAATCTTGATCAGAGTTTTAAATATTTATATATACACACGTCACATAACTTATAATTGCCATTTTCCCTTTTTATAGTTTCCTTTCTCTTCTGTTTCCTTCTCTTCCAAGACTAAAGAAATTAAAATTAGATTTTGAATCAAAACTAGTAAAAATGTTAAATCACCGAGATGGGCTATAACTGGAACAAGTAGGTAATATAGGGTTTGCATTGTTTTTTAGAAAATAAAGTTATTAGTATTTATGGTCTCCAGCACTGGCTTCTTTTCTTGCAACTTTTTTCCCTAAGCACAGATTTAGATATTCTTAGGCCATTATAGCTGCAATAGAGCTTAGTAAGCATCTAGTCTACCCACTTTATTTTAGAGGTGGGGTATCTAAGACACAAGGACAAGTGATTTGTCCACAGTCAGTTAATTCATTACAGGGCCAGAATGATAAACTAGATTTCTAACTATTGTTGAGGAGATAATCAAACTTTGGCTAATTCTTCTATTATGCTAATAACCATTTTAAGTTTTAAGGCCATACTATTTCTAGAAATACATATTGATCTGATGACATTTTAAAAAGATATTATTTTAGTGACCTGGTAGAATAGTAGAAGTAAGTTCCTGGAATTTGTCAATCCACCAGTCAGCCAGATTGGATGAGTGAAGTTTTGCAGTACTTTTCCATTTTGGTACATAGGCTGTTTACTAGTAGAGTCAACAGGAGGTGATTTTTATTAATCTGATTTTAAGTCATTAAAAACCCCACATTATCTCTGAATTGTTAGTTTTTGACAACCTGACTGTGAGGAGTCACACATTTTCCGTAGGAAGAGGTTTAATCAATAAATGTATATTAAGGAAAACATGAGGAACAAGATTTTAAAAAATTCAGCCTTTTTCTGTTGGATTTTCCTTGTTGAATCTAAGAAGTTATGTATTTAAAGAAGTCATATGAGTGGACTCTTGGATTCTCTTAAACAGAAAAATGAAAAAAAATAAGTTCCTAAGGGTCATGTGAATATTCTACATTTCATTTTCTTGTATTCTTTGTGATTTCCGTAGGACTTACATTTTAGTTAAACTGAATTATACAAAAATTACACCTTGTATTCTGTGATTTTTAGGTGTTTTTTTTTAAAGAAGGGAGTTATCTGTTTTTTGGGAGGAATAATTAATAAATATAATGGGTTGGATAAGAAGAAAATGGTTACAGATGTGGAGGAATGTAGACAACCTGAAGTTAGTACCGGTGGAACTCCTGGTTGTAGTTGCCTAATATCAATTATATTCAATTGTTTAGTTTTAGTCAGTTGTGTTCATATATTATACTTTTGATGTGAAGAGTACTCTGCTACACTTTTTAAAGCCTCTTAGTTTGACTTAGTCTGAAGTTTAATTTGTTGGTTTTCTTTCAAATTACATTCCCTTAGCTGTAGCCTGTGTTTTGGTATGGCAAGTTAATAATTGCTCTTTGTTCTATTCCAGATCCCTGCATGTCACTGAGTCCACCGTGCTTCACAGAAGAAGATAGATTTAGTCTGGAAGCTCTTCAAACAATTCATAAACAAATGGATGATGACAAAGATGGTGGAATTGAAGTAGATGAAAGTGATGAAGTAGGTGGAAAAACTTTTTCCCTTGTAGTCTCTTAAAACAGAATGACCAAGTTTTTCGTCTTAAATTTTCCCGTTATTCCTCATATGATTCAGCTCCTTCATCTTCAGTGTCTTCAGTTTTTCTCTTTACATTTTAATTTTACTCTTTGTATTTACGTGGTTTTCCTTTTTTCTCGTGTGTATACAAGTCTTCTCAGTTTTATAAGAATTCTCAGTCTCATGTTCTTGGATTTCTCGAACATATATCCTATTCTGACTGTATCAGTTATCTATTGGTGCTTTCCACCAAAAAATTTAGTGGCTTAAAACGACCACAGTTTATTATTTCTGCTGAGTCTCCGGGTTAACTGGGCTCAGCCGGGCACTTTTTCTGTTCCCTTAGGTGTGGGCTGAGGTCACTATGGCAGTTGTATCAGTTGGGAGCTCTGCTGGGGCTGGAATATCTAAGATGACCTCTTATCCTTCAGAGTCTCTCCACGTGGCCGCTCATCATTCAGGAGTCTAGCTCAAGCTTCCTTATGGCATGGTAGCTGGCTTCCAGGTGGCAGTGCTCCAGGAAAACAAGTTCCTATGTGAAAGTGCTTATCATGCCTCTGTTTGCCAATGCCTGTTAGTATCAAATTGGCTTAAAGCAAGGTATTTGGCTAAACTCAGAGTTGGTGTGGGAGAAGATTATACAAGGGTATGAATACCAGGAGATGTGGTTTATTGGGGGTCACCAATGTATTAATCTGCTATACTCACTGTACAAATAAATAGTGTTTTATTTTTTAAGCGTTCTCGTCTTCTCCCTTTCTGATGTCCCTTTTAGTTTCTCCATGGAAGTTGTTTTCTTTATTTGGCTGTGGTCTCATTCTAACCAAATGCCCTAGTCATTTTTTTAGGCCTCTTCAACATCTTTGTTGTATTTGTCACTGTTGAGATGCTTCTCTTTTAGTTTATATGATACTAAATTACATTATTATCTAATGTTATATAACAGTCACATCCTCTAATCACATTGTTATCTAACGGTAACATTTTGTCAAGATCATTTCTTGACCTGCGGGGTATGAAACATTTACCTTGAGAATGCTCATCCCTTTTTAGGTTACTCCTGATTCCTCCATCTTGAAACCAGTCCAGATTCCTGACCCACTTGTATTGCTTTTTGCCTGACATCTGTTGAAGACTCTTACTTTTGCTTTCAACTTAGTTTGTCTAAAACAAAATCCCAGCTCTCCTCTTTGAAATCCCTCACTATTCAATGGCACTTCTGGACCTACTTCTCCTCAATTCTTTTCTTCTAAATCAGGAGTTGGCAGACTTTTTCTATAAAGGGCCAAGTTTTGGGTTGAAATGTGTCCCCCCAAAAACCATATTTTGAAGTCCTAACCCCCAATACCTCAAAATGTGACCTTATTTGGAAAGAGGGTTATTTCAGCTGTAATTAGTTAAGATGAGGCTATACTGGAGGAGCGTGGGCCAGCAGTAATCCAGTGTGACTGGTATCATTGTAAGAGAGGAGAATACCATGTGGAGACACAGACACAGGGGAGAAAATGATCATATGACAGTGGAGGCAGAGATTGGAGTTATGTAGCTACCAAGTCAAGGAATGACAAGGATTGCTAGTGACACCAGAAGCTAAGAGAAAGGCATGGAACAGATTGTCCCCTAGAACCTTAGAGAGAGCATGAACCTGCTGACACCTTGATTTCAGACTTAGAGCCTCCAGAACTGTGAGAGAATAAATTTCTGGTGCTTTAAGCCATCCAGTTTGTGGTACTTTGTTATAGCATCCCTAGGAAACTAGTACAGGCCAGTTAGTAAATACTTCAGATTTTGTGGGCCATGTGGTCTCTGTTGTAACTACTCCACTTGCACATTGTAATGCCAAGCAGCCATAGACAATACATGAACTAATGGGCATGGCTGTGTTCCAGTAAAACTTTATTTGCAAAAACAGACAGTGGGCTATAGTTTGCCAGTCCCTGCTGTAAATAAAACCTTGTGTTATTTATTTCTTTTGTGAGGAAGATCAGCCCTGAGCTAACCTCCACTGCCAATCCTCCTCTTGCTTTTTTTTTTTTTGCTGAGGAAGATTGGCCCTGAGCTAACATCTGTGCCCATCTTCCTCTCCTTTATAAGGGATGCCGCCACAGCATGACTTGACAAGCGGTGCGTTGGTGTGCGCCTGGGATCCGAACCTGCAAACCCTGGGCCGCCATAGCAGAGTGCGCACACTTAACTGCTTGCGCCACTGGGCTGGCCCCTAAAACCTTGTGTTCTTAAAATTTATTCCTTTTTCTTCATTTCTTGCTTATCTGTTCTAGTTATTTACTTGCTCTATTTTAATCTGGGTATTTATCTTGTTCCTAGATTATTACCTCTAAGGTTTTCCTCTCTAATCTATCATGCTTATCACGTTGAGAGTATTTTCTCTAGCTAAGAAGCTTAATAATGATTTCTTATTGCTTATTAGATCAAGTATTAACTCATTAGTCTTATATTTAATGTCCCAGCATCAACTGGTTACTGCTTACTGAGATAGTCTCTTCTCATTGTGGGTAAATCATTTTGGTTAGAGCTCAGTTCCATTAATACCGTAATCATGGCTTTCAGTTCTAAATAGTCCAATTTATTTCATTTGTTTCTAGAACCACAGATGACAGGATAATCTATTTTACATTGTTTCCAACTTAAAAAGTTTTTGAAGTATGTAAATATATTCGGTGGGTCATAAAATGGAGTGAAATGAAATTGATGGATTATTAAGAGTTTTACTGTTACCAGAAAATAACATAAAGTAGTTGTCATTTATTCTGGGTCATTTTATTATATTGAGTAATTCATTCTCTCAACATCATTATCAGCATTCCTTCTCTCTCTCCTAATACAAATACACACACACATTAAAACAAGCTGTAAGATTACTTTTTAGTAACAATACTCTGGATTATTAGTGATGAATTGTTCTTTCTGATCCTCCCAAGATTGTCTAAGTGGTTTATTTAGTTGCCAATATAGTTGCTTAAGAATTTGAATGTCAAATATGTGAGCATAAATTATGGAGTAAACAGAATTTATGTTCGCGTATTTGATACTCTTTGCAGAGAAAACTATTCTCTAGGCTAAATAGATTTCATAAAATGATTGTTGTACTTTTTTTAGTCATTTACAGTATGACAGTTTTATCAAATTCCATGTCAACTCTGAGTATATTGTGTTTAGTAGATGAATGCCCTGTGCAGTTTCCTAATTGTGTCTAGTAATTAAATTGGAGATAACTTTTAACATTAAACCTTGTGGTGCTGTGCTGAAAGGATGTAATTATAAGTTATTACACTGATGGTGCTAAGTTTTCCTTTGATTTTGGTATTACTTGAGGACTTAATCATTGCTTAGCATTGTTTTAGGTTAGGAAACATATTAATACTGAGAGATTATTTTGCGGGGAGGGAGAAGTGGGACTGGGAGAGCATATATGATTAATTTTGAGAGTTTTAGTATTATTATAAAATATTTGAAAAGATGGTATACGGTTTCACTTTTTTTTTTTGTGAGGACGATCAGCCCTGAGCTAACATCCATGCCAATCCTCCTCTTTTTTGCTGAGGAAGACTGACCCTGAGCTAACATCTGTGCCAATCTTCCTTCACTTTATGTGGGACGCCACCACAGCATGGCCTGACAAGCAGTGTGTTGGTGTGCGCCCAGGATCTGAACCTGGGCCTCCAGCAGCGGAGCGCGCGCACTTTACCGCTATGCCACGGGGCCGGCCCCCATTTTCACTTTTTAAAGTGGAATAGTTTTAGATAGCCACATTTCAGAAATTACAGATTAACTTATTGAGATTGATTAATTTTGGGCCTAGAATAAGGCTAAATTCTTTGTATTAAAAATCACTTTTGTTATTAATACATCAAGTTATAAATATTACTACTCTGGGGTGTTTTCTGACTCCAACCAGTTCTTCAATTCTCCGACACCAACTGAGTTTCCAACAACTCAGTTCAGTTCTGACACAATGCCACAAGACTGCCCCCACTTTAGATGGCCAGTCACAAGTCTCAGGTCTTGCATACTTCTGACCAACTGGCTATAAATCTGGGATTCCCATGACTCCCTCCTCAGGTTTGATAATTTGCTGGAATGGCTCCCAGAACTCGGGAAAACACTTTATTTAGGTTTACTGGTTTATTATGAAGAATATAACTTAGAACAGCCAAATGGAAACGAGGTATAGGACAAGGTATGGTAGGAGGGACACAGAGCTTCCATGCCCTCTCTGGGCATGCCACCCTCCCAGCACCTTGATACGTCCATCAGTGTGGAAGCTCTCCGAATCTTGAAGTTCAAAAGTTTTTATAGCGCTCAATTTCCCTAAAGATTGGGTAGATGGGACTGCAAGTTCCAACCCTCTAATCGATTGGTCTTTCTGGTGACTAGCCTCACCCTGAGGTGATCTAGGGGCCCCACCCTAAGTCATCTCATTATCATGAACTCAGGTGTGATCTAAAGGGGCAAAAGACATCCCTATCACTTAGGAAATGCCAAGAGTTTTAAGAGCTCTGTACCAGGAACCAGGGACAAAGACCAAATATAGTTGTTATGATACCACAACTACAAAAATATTTGAATCTGAAAAAAATAGCAAAAATTTACATTTTCTTAATCATTAAAAATACCTTCAAAGGAAAGATCTGGTAAAATTGGGTATATATAGACAGAGAGGTATTAATTAAGCTCATGTAGATATTTGACAGCCTATTTGAATGTATTTGCATAATAGTTCCTAGAATTAAAAGTTATTTTAATCTTTTTTGCCTCATCATCAGATATTAAATGCTCAAACGTGTGAAATATTATCAGTGTGCCAAACAAAGTAAGCGTGCATGGCTATCTAGTTTATACTTCAGTAGAATTCTTACTGAGTCTTTTAAATTTCAGTGGAATTTTGTAATAAAAGTTAGGACTAAAAACTTTGTGTTAAAAAGTAAGACTTATGTTAAAAGAAC